AGAGAAACCCTTTCTTGAAAAACCGAAAAAGAAAGCAGCCTCCCAAACACCTTACCACAAGCGTGTATGGCGCTTCCTTCTTTGGCAGCTCCTCGCTGGAAGAGGCAGCCTCGGCTGAGCTGGGTCCTGTGGGGGACGTGTCCACAAAGCTCTCATCCACCACCCTGAAGCGGATCTCCTCACCAGTGTCCATGTACAGGTCATGAGCTCCCTCCTCCGTCTCATACTCCCACACCCAGACTTGTTCTGTCTCATCACTGGAGACCAGGGTCAAGGCCATAATCATGCTTAGGGAGTTCATGAGGCTGAGGGTCCTCTTAAGTACTAACCCAAGTTAAAACCAACTCAGTTTGAGCCTATTTTGGCTGGGAAGTCCCAGTAAAAGCTGCTCCTGTTCCTTGGAGAGGAGCTAGTTTTTGCCAGGACCCAAAGTGAGAATGACATTCCCAAGTCTGGAAATTTGAATGACCAGGGACCCCACACTTCTCATTCAAGCCTCATAACTAATGTGACAGACGGGTAGATCATGGGCTTGCCCTGGTCTCCAGAAGATGAGGTAGGTTTGAATGTCACCTGCCTGAGGAACATAAGGCAAGGCCAGATTTGCTGACAAGTCAGAGTCTCATTTAAACCCTACCTCTGCCCACACAGGCCTGGGCACAAGCAGAGGCTGAGCTCTGCTCTTCCCCCATAGCCTACATAGCCATACTGCCCTCTAGTGGCACACTGCATTCTCCATGTCATGCTACTGCTGGGAGCTATGATTAAGTTCAATTGTGACAGGCCATCTGAGCCTCTCTCCCAAGACCATGACCAGTGACAGTCCCATTAAAACAGCCCCAGAAAGGTGATGGTGGCACATTAACCTTGAAAGGATACAACTTGGCAGGCTGTTGCAGTGACTCAGGGGGGATGAGAATGTCATCGAAGAACCCTAAAGAGACTGGAAGAAATGAAGAACATGAAGGCATGGGATGGGGACTTCAAAGGAACAACCCAGAAGAGATGGCTGGACACTGCAAAGCAAGCCTGTAATCTGTCCCCTCCTGCCTCAAAGCCCCACATCTAACTATACTACCAACATGCACTGAGCAACCCTGGGCAAAGCTCCAAGTATCCAGAGTGCTCACTGCACACCCAGGGACCCATAGGCACTGCGAGCCTGTCTCCTCCACCAGCCAGCTCAGTACCCATCCTCAGATCCTAAGCTGTGTCCTTAGAGTGACGGTTGAATGAGGCTCTTACTCCATGCATGAGGGATGGGGCACCCCTTGCTTGGCCCTTTAGCTGGGCATTTTCTCTGATGCCATAGGGAAGATTCAGCTGGATACACTGCCCACCCTGTGTTCTAGTCTCACCCCAGAAGTCACCCCTTTTACCATGCACACCCTCTGGGCTGCAGCCTTTGATCTTCCCGATGAGAATCTCATCCAGGAATGGGTGAAACACCACATATCGGAAATGGACTGGAAAAGAAGGGAATACTGTTGTCAGGTACACCAGACCCTCCATGACAGCCATGGAACTTGGGGCTGATCATGTTCACCAACGTCAACTTCACTGCCAGTACACTTACCCAATGGTCCATGCCAAGGTCTGGACCTGTCTGCCAAGCCAGAGAACCGACCCTCCCTCATTTCTGCAAGGTCACAGCTTGGTCTCCAAAGGGACGGGCAGCAGCTGCTGCCCTGGACTAAGGCTGGTTTCCAAATAATCTCCATCACACCTGAGCCTCAATTCTGGGCCATTGGTGACTCCAAAGTCAATTCCAAAGTCCCTCCAGGCTGTCCTTTGCATTCTAAAAAGACAGCAGCAACTGGCCAGACTTGGAAGTCCCCATCTGTTGACGCCTGGGCAAGCTTACCCTCAGCACAGAGCTGACCTGGGATAGAAAACTAAAATGACAAGGCTGCCTGTGGTGATGGAAGACACGTGGGGAAAGCCTTCCTGGGTTCTCAGGCCTTGTCCTATGTGCTCCCCACTCACTTGAACCCAAGTGGCTAAAGCTGTATTCACATCAGAATGACTACTGGCCTTAGCAGATGCCACACCTGTCACTGACCCTCTCAAACAGGAAGATGCCCTCTGCCATTAGCCAACTGCCTGTATGAACCGCCTGTGCCAGATGCCATGTTTCCACCAAACAGAGGAAGAGATAGTTCAGAGAGGCTGGGTGACCTATTCCAACCACACAGCTTTCCTGCCCATTCTGCAACGGGAAGCCTTTAGGCCAGTGATTCTCAACCTTCCTAATGCTCATGTTGTAGTGACCCCCAACCATAAAATTATTTTTGTTGCTACTTC